ATATAAAATCTGAGTGTGCTTTTTGGAAAAATAAGCTCCAAATACCCCTGGGCAGGCTGATACTGAATTGTGCCTTTTGAGCACTGTGGGGCATGGAGGAGATGCTTACAAATGTAAGGAAATGATGGGTGACAGCTTGCTGATTCTGAGTACATACATCAGAATAGAAACTAGGCAAGTGAGTGTGCAGGGCTCCTGAGTTCAGTCTGGGGATCTTTGTACCTGGGGGTGATGGTGGAGTAGGTGGATGTGCACCTCAGCTGGAGGACATTCCTGTGGGGGTGTGCTGCTCCGCTGGCCTTGCCCATAATGGTTTCTTCTCCACACAGTTTTGACCTTGAAAAGTTGTGCCGTTTTATTATGTCTGTGAAGAAAAACTACCGGCGAGTGCCGTACCACAACTGGAAGCATGCGGTCACGGTGGCACACTGTATGTACGCCATCCTCCAGAACAACGACGGGCTCTTCACTGACCTTGAGGTGGGTGCTGGAGCCTTGCTCCCCTGTGTTGTGCAGTCTCAGTGGATAGAATTTTCCACCTCTGGAGCACATGTGCAACATGGGCTTGTGGAGTGTTATACCAGGACAAAGTTTAGTCTAGCAAATTAATAGAAACACATTTTTAGTACTGGAGCATTTAGCAAATTCTATATTTTAAGAAATGTGAATACCGAAATTTCAACCTCACTAAAATATCCCTCAAGAAAGCCCTAATTTTTGTAGTCTTCATTCCCAATTAAAGTGTAAATATTTTGAGAAGATGTAATAATGAATTTTTGCTGTTGTTGCTCATGTGCCCTGTATATCTGAAACCTAAATATCTGAAGCCCCCAAGTTTGTGTTCTCTAAAATCAAAGAATGAATTCTAGGAACAGAGGACTTTCAGAATAGGAAAAACTTATTGAGAGAAAGATAGCTTCTATCTAAGAGAGACAGAAGAACTGCAAAGTGGGTTGTCCACCCACCTCATGTTTCAAAAGTGTCTTATTGCAAAAAGCCACCAGGTGAGGTTCAAGATGGGGCAAAACTATAGTCCACTAGTAAGATTACAAGTATAGTCTCTTAGGTAATACTGATCCAATGGGAATTGTGAGGTGGTACCAAACAATGATCAACCAATAAGATTATACCAAGTATAGTCACTTACGTAGTAGTATTGATTAAATGAGGATCAACTGGGGCAGCTAGTCACATACATGGACCTAACAAGGATTTCCCTGAAAGGAATGGGGTAATGAGGTTTTAGTCCCCACCCAGGGTGATTGACACCTATTTAAATATCAATCACTGCTCTTCATCCCCAGGGGAAGTATGTGGGTAGTTCTTCTCTTTTGAATTCTGACTTTTTAGTAAATGAGTCTCAACGGTGAGGATCCATCCATCCCTGCCTAACTGCCTTTATAATATTTTCTAAGGAGCTTAGCTGTCTAAAATATTACCCGCTCTGAAGAAGTATCCCTAAGTCTTGTTAAGGGAGAAGGGGTGTAGTTTCTATTTAACTGCTTCGAGCTGAGAAGGGTTAATGTAGGGAGATTTCAGAAAGGGCTTCTGTCTAGAGAGCTAACCTAATTGGCCTCAGATAGAATCATGTTAGCAGTTATGAGCTTTCTTTATAAGGTTGATCTGGTGGATCCCTGTAAATGGTGTCTAGCACGTTTGTCTTTGGTTCTGTCTCTATGGTCGCTTGGAGTTTGGCTGACTTTAAGAGAGAATAAATAAAATTTTCAAGAAATTATAGCATGTGTAATAAAACCATGAACACTAGAATGGAAAGGCAGCTTGGGGAGAGAGCCACATTTAGAAACTGTTAAAATTGTGATTGTAACCCACTAGCACTTAAGACCCCTTTGTTGATAAAGTTTACAAGTTTGATATTTTGTTGTAAGTCTCTCTAGATTTAGCTGTAAGAAGTTAGGAGTTTAGTGACCCATAAGAGTGGTCAGCTACTGATATAGGGGGAAACTGCCAGAAGGGTCAGCAATTGGAGCCCCTTTTTATATCTTGCTTTATTACTATAGCCTTGACTTAATATCTTTAGTTATACTTTTCTACTGGGTGTTTAAGTGCTGACAAGTTAAAGCGAGACCCTTGTCAATCAAAATTAATCTCTTGCTTTCTACCAACGTCAGTTAAGTCTTCACAAGCATTAGTTTGGAGTCATGCGTAGAGCCTCTTAGCTCCTATAGTGTCAGCCCTCAGGATGATTCACAAAGTAGCTTGACCATGTTGCTTTCTGTGAAAGCAGGGGAGATGTTTCCCTCCTTTGGCATACTATACATTTGTTGATTTTTGTTCTCTGGTGTCTAGCAATCTCCCTGCTCAGGCAAGTTTGGTGATTCACTAAAGTTGTAGGATTCTGTAGGAAAGATTCCCTCATATCCTCCTGGGGTCATTGTTGACCTTGGCAGGCCAGGGCCACAAAATATTAGCTGTCCTCTTAGTCCAGTTAACTTTCTAGTTTTGGTCTCTAAGCTTTAGTTTTTGAGGAGCAGTGAGCTTAACTACTACAATTTTAAATGGACATTAAGCACCTTTGAAATATAAAGTACAAGTAGAGGACTGTTATTTTTTTATCATCCATGGTTGATTTAGTAGTCAAATACCTGTAGAATGTTGAGACATCAGTTATATAGCTTTAAAGAGAAAACTTGAGATCAAGAGCCACACATAGTATTTTAGCATGACAATCATAATGACATTATCTTTGTGACATACTTCAATGTACATCTTAGTATAGAATAGCCTTTTAGTCAAACATCTCTATATGATCGAAAGATATTAAACGACACACATAAAAAAGCCTCTCATCTAAATTGTTATTCTTTAATAGGATGTCACCTAAGAACAATGTACCAGCTTATAAATGTGGAAGTTTGTAATTTTAGTGTGTAATTTTTAGCATGTGACATTATTTGGACTGGTATCTGATCACCTCTAACTGTAGTGATGCAAATAACATACACATCATATAAAAACTATTATTTAACTGATGATCTTATGCTGGTTTGACATGTACCTCTTATCATAGTAGCTGGAGCACAAGAGAAAGTAAGGTATCTGAGTCAAAAAAATTATTGTAATAAACAGTATCATGGAAGACCTCTACACTTGGAAAGCATGAGTACATTTAGTACACCATAAAATTAGCAAAAGTGAAAATCATTAGTTATACGAAACTCTGTCCCTTAAATTAGTTTTGTACCAAGAGCATCTTTCTTTCTTTCTTTCTTTTTTTTTTTTTGTACCTGGGATCAAACTCAGGCCCTTGCACTTGTGAGGCAGGCAGCAGAACCACTGAGCCAAATCCCCAGCCCCCAAGAACATCTTTTAATAAAAATTTATTTTTATTTATTGTTTTTCTCATAAAATCTTAACCTCTTAACAATGACCAATGTAAGCATATCACAATAATATGTTTAGTAGTGTTTATTGGGGTATATTTTTCATAAGGTTATGGAAATTATTGGAGTCCCCTTTATAAATAAAGGCTGGAGAAATATTTCCAGGCAACTGCTCCCATATTTATCAAGAGGAATCTTGTCTAGTAGTTGTTATAAAACTAAAAGTCTTTATTTAATTATCTTAAAAAATTTTCAGATGACCTGTGAGAACCAAATTGTAACAATTAACACATTACTTTAGACCAGTGAAAGATTTCTGAGTTATTATACACAGACCACAGTTAAGTATTGCATTTTTAAAATCGGTCTTGACATCATTTTGATGAGGTGGCAACCTGGAGGGAAGTAGATTGTCTTTAAAGACATTTATCTATAAGTTAACTTTAAATTACAGGCAAATATTTTAAAAATACAAAAAGGTGAAAAAAAATTGTTGAGCTCAAACAAAAGAACTGCAAGATAGATTAGACAGACATGGACAAACAAACAGAAGACCATTTGTTTATAAAACCAAAGTGCACTAAGATGTATTTGTCCAAGTCTAATTATAATAACTCTTTTATAGTTTTTAGGTCTGTAGCTATAATAAGATTAGTCATAACTTTTGTAAGTCAATTAACTGAGTCAATAATAAGAATCAGAAGGAATAAAGCCTTTTACCTTTGTGAAAGCAAAGACAGATTTTCAGATGAAACTTGGGCTGAGGTTTTTTCTGATCAGAATATGTAGCTATAGAGGGTCCTCATGGCTGCTTGCTAGCCATAGTTGTTGGATAGTCACTGCTGGTGGTCAAAATAGCTGTTTGATAGCCACATGTAATTGTCTCCTCTAGAGGGACAGACTGATAAAAGGTAATATTAACTATTTTTAGGAGTGGGTGTGTAAGCCAGGTCTGGCTATAGAAAGAGACTAGGCGGCACCCTTTAGAGCTATGTATTTTAAACAGGGTTCTAATCTGTCCTGTTGCAGATGTCTATCTATGACAGTTTTTCTTGTTTTGCCTGTAACCTTTGGACCATACTTAGCTATAGGCCTTTTTTTTTTTTTTCTTTCCTTTTGGAGCCTTGGATAGCATATCTCTGATAGTAGTGGACAGCCTGTCAGGATGTCCTGGAGAGACATCCTGATAAGAGAGTCAGTCCTCTCGGGACTGAGGCTGTATTCTTTAATATTTGTTTTTGTTTAAAACTGCTATTAAACTAGTGAAGTTCCTTAGGAATGCCTTGTTCTAGCAATGAACTTACATGTATTCTAAAAATCAGTCCATCTATCCTGTGGAATAATAGGGTCATTTTTGAAGGGGTAGGGGGAGTAAGAGGAGTTAATCTCTAGTTTTGCCTAAGGGTTGAAAGGCTGGTAAACTTGGACTAAACTTTTATCTATATTTATTTTTGACAAGTTTCAGGATTAAATGTATACTAGTTTTGTGGGTTTTTGTTTTGTTTTGTTCTGTTTCTTTTTTTTTTTTTTTTTTTTTTTTTTTTTTTTTTTTTTTTTTTTTTTTTTGTATAGTGATTGAACTGGGGATCTTGTGCTTGCCAGGCAGGCAGCAGCACCAGTGAGCTAAATCCTGGGCCCTGTACTAGTTGTTTTTTATTTTATTTTTTTAATATGGCCCGCAGATAAGTAAAGGTCAGCTCTACACTGGAAGGATCCCAGGGAGGGGAAATTTACCATTCTGGAAGCTTGGTCCTGAAATCTAGCAGCTACGGAGGAGGGAATTGCGTTGAACCAAACACTGCTGAAAACTGAGTTATTTTTCAGGGTCAGGGGAATGGAGAAAGTACAGAAGAGTGACTCTAAAGTATGGCATGATAATTCTAAATGACTAAATCCAAACCATCTCAGGTGCAGGAAGACAATTAAGATCTAGAACTTTTCCCAGAGGAGATTTCTAATCTTTAGCAGAACATGTCTCTAGAGACAAGAGCTATGGTTGACTCTAACTGCATTGCCAAGCAGAAAGTTAAACCTAGAATTAAAGAACCTCAATGGCTGAATTTTAGCCTATTGAGGGAGAGTGAGAGAGAAAATGAAAGTGTGGATCATGTTTTCAAGTTAAAATGCAGGTATCTGTCTTTTGTGCTTCTTTATAATCGGGTAGAGGGGGTGCACAATCTCATTATGTCTTGCTATCCAAAGATGACAAAGCCTGTAAGTCCTAGGAATCTCTTTAGCTGCCTTAGAGTATAGAATTGGTTAAATTCTTTCTTCCTCCAGTCTTTGGGGGGTCCCCTTAGATATGGTAAGGCCCAGATGTTTTACCTCAAGGCTGAAAAGATATTCCTTAGATCTAGAAACCATATAACCCTCACCTGCTAGAAAATTTAGCAGAGCACAGGTGCCTTGGCTAGAGATCTCTTCTGAGAGGGATACATGCCAGGGGGTATCATCTACATATTGTAAGACTGTGATTTGGGAAAAACTGTAGTATTTCCTCCTATTGAATCAGGAGCTAGAGATGTCCTCATCTTTTTCCCGATAAATAGTTGACAATGTAAAATAACTGAAGAGCTTAATTCTCTTCTTTCTTACACATTTGAGAATACATGACTGACAGTGTCTTCGAATCTCTCATCTGGTTGGCAGGCCAGTGGGACTTGTATGGGGACTGCCTGTACTGCAGTAGGCATCTGCTATTCCTCTGGCTGCCCATCTTTTGACCTTTTAAATTAAGATAATATTTATCTGTAAATGTAGCAGCAGCTTATAATACTGCTTATCAATTGATGTTTTGAAATGGATGCTAGAAATCAATGTTTTATATAAAAGTAAATATCTTTCTAATGTAGCTCATAGGTCTGAGTAAGTCCTCCAAGGACCTCATTGCATGTATTAGAGTTGTTTGAAAACTTTCCTAGGTCTCACTTGATCTGTCTTAGATCACTGAGAGTAAAGAAGACAAAAATGCAAAGTAGCCCCTCATTTATCCCTTCTTCCTCCCTGTAAGGGCTGTCGTCTTTGAGGGGCCTGAACAAATTAACTATGGATGGATATAGCCCCATAGAGGTTTTAATTACAGCTGGCCTAGATGCTCCACCCTCAGCACCCAAAGGGTGGAGAGGGGAAGCCTCAGACTCAGTAGTGGTGGGCAAGGTTTTGATTAGAGTTTCCTTGGAAGCCTTGTCCTCAGGTTCTAAAGGGCAAGCAGTAGCCTCAGGCTCAGGGGTAGTGAATGTCTTAGGGCCAAGTGTCTGACTTTCCTGTGGCTGACATTTACATTTTGAACACAGGCAAGGAATACTTCTCAATCCAGAGAAAGTCTGGACATATGGCAGTTTTGACCACTTTCTTTTAACAGATTGCAGCTGTGAAACATCATCATAATCAACACCTCTGTATTCTACTTTGGCTTTGGGGTAAAACCTGTCCCCCAACACTTAAGAATGGTCACTGACCTATTGTCTCTTAACTGGTGGATGGTCCCATGATCTATTAATAGGAATGTATGTTTCTTAAATAAAAACTAGATTAAAAACCCATTCTAAAGCATGTTTATATTTACTTGTAGATACCACTAAATTCCACTAGGTGGTAATCTAACACTACCCTTTTCCCTGGGGCTGTTGTCTAACAGAAAAGGGAATGCAACTTCAGCAGCTAAATCCAAATGCAACATATATAAAACAAGATTAAAATGTCATTTTAGCAAAAGACAATGCATCATAAGATAAAAGCAATTCACAGAAACTTAAGATATACAACCTGAAATTTAAGACAATTTTGAAACAAAAGCCAGAATTTATAAAACAAAAAACAAAATCTACGAAACAAAAGACCGGAGTCTTTGAAAGAAAAGAATGGCTAAGACATGAAACAGAATTTGAAAAAAAAAGTTAGGATCTATTAAGCAAAAAACCAGAAACTTAGAATCTATGAAACAAAAGCAAACTTTTAGTTCTATCCAGTCATCTCTGTGGAAGACCTCCAAATGATGTAAGGGACCAAGTAATCCAAATAAGCAAAATAATTTAAATAAGGGAAATATAATGATGTCCAACCTGCTAGATAATGGAAACACCAAGCTCATTTTCTCTAAAACTGAAGAATATATTGTAGGAATGACAGAGGTTAAGAATAGGAAGAATTTGGGTTACAGGGAGGGAGGGAATGGGATAAAATAAAATTTATTTTTAAAAATAATAGGAAGAGTTTATTGAGAGAAAGATAGCTTCTAAGAGAGACAGAAGGGGACCAGAAAATGGGTTGCCCACACACCCAGCTTCTCAAGTGTTTTTTAAAGCAAAGCTGCAAGGTGAGGCTGGTTCATGGTGGAAAAAAACTGCAGTGAACTAGTAAGATTGATTACAAGTATAGCCGCTTAGGTAATATTGATCCAATGGGAATCATGAGGTGGGACAAAACTGATCAACCAATAAGAATATAGCAAGTGTAATCAGGTAGTATGGATTAAATGAGAATCAAATGGGGAACCTAGTCAAACACACATTATACATAACAAAGATTTCTCTGGAAGGAATGGGATAAGGAGGTTTTTGTCCCCACCCAGGGTGATGGGCACCTATCATCCCTAGGGGAAGTATGTGAGTGTAGTGGTTCTTTTCTTTGGAATCCTGACCCTTTCCTAAAAGTGTCTCAGTTGTTTTCTATACTGAGGGCTGGCCTTGTCTAACTGCCTTATGATATTTGCTGTCTTGGTTTAGCTACAATACAGGTACCTCCCTGTTTCTTAGCTCTTCTTTTCAGCACCATTCACCTGACTATTGCTTGCTCTGCTCTCTCCCTCCTAAACCTCTTCTTCCTTGTCTTTCGGAAACCAACTCTGATCAGACTTCAGATCTCAGCATCCCAAAGCATTTGGGCTGGTGCTTAAGGTTTCTTCTCCATCCAGTGTCTTCACTGAATAGCTCCAGGTACCTGGAACTCTTGACTTTTCTGAGATCACGTGGGCTGCTCCAGCCTTGCATTCTTTTCGGATTCTTTCCATTTCCCCGGACTTTTCAAAGCTGAAGTGCTCACGGGTTCACCGTTTCAGTTCTTCTCTCCTTAGACTGCAACACTGGTAGCTCTCAAATCCTATGGCCCTCAGTGCCACTTTTTCATTTTCTCAAGTTAAGGCTGTCTCCAGAGCTTTAGACACAGTCAGTTGTCAACTGAAAAATCTCTGTCGATCATTGCCAGACATCTCCTCTCAGTCCACCTGGACTCCTCACACTTGTCTACCACAGCTTTCTCAGTCAGTGAGTGGTAATCCTTGTGCATTTTCTTTTCCTCATTAAGTTTATTGGTACATTCTAGGTATACAGTACAGTTACCTTCATCACTGGGATCTTGTACCTTTACATGACAGGTCTTGGTTCTCATTTTTTCCTTTTATCCATGCCCTCCCTTCACCCCTTCCTCCCTTCCCTATTTACAAATACTTTATTTCCATTTTGTATTTTCTCATATTTTTTCTTTTCCTTTATTACCTTTCCCCTACCCTTCCCACTTCCCCTACACCTTTAACCCTTTTCTTCCTATTTCACATTGTTAATTATGCCATTAGGATCTTATGTACCATTATAGTTTTTCACATCAGAGAAACTATTTGGTATTTATACATGTGTGACTTGTTTATTTCACTTAGGAGTATATCCTCAATAAGTATCCATTTTCTTGTGAATAAATCTAATTTCTCATTCTTTATGGCTGAGTAGTATTCCATTTTATAGAAAAACCACATCTTCTTTATCCAGTCTCCAACTGATGGGCAAATGGGCTGTTTCCAAGTTTTAGCTATTAGAAACTGTGCCGCTATAAACATGGGTGCGCATATATCACTGTGATAGGATTCTTTTAATTCTTTTGGAAAGATACCCAGCAGAGGGATGGCTGGGTCAAATGGAACCTCTAATCCCAGCTCTTTGAGGCATCTCCATATGGATTTCTAGTCCTTACATATTAGAGCCACACACCTGGGAATATGCTTGACCCCCATGCTTCTGGTTTCTTTTCATAGACGTCAGATAGTCAAAAAATGTGTTGGCTCTGCCTGACAATGATGTTAATCACATTGTAGCGGCTTCCATTGTTATAAACATCCTCTTATGAATTTCCATTATATTTTTGCCTTGACTGCTGCAAAAGCCTCTCACCAGTCACTCTTGTCAGTCCTAGAATCTGTTCTTAATGGAATTGCCAGAATGACCTTTTAAAAATGCTAGTTAGACGCTGGCCCTGCAGCTGAAGATGCCGTGATTCAATTCAGACCCTGAGACCCTTGTAACTACCGCCTGCTCTGCGCACAGCCTGGCATCATTGTGCCTCTCTCAGCCTGCTGTCCTGTGCTCTGCCCGCCAGGACCTTCTCCTGCACCTGCTTCCTTCCCTCTCACAGCCTGGCTCACATCTGACCTTCCAGAGGCTTCTGTTCTGACCTAATTTAATTCTCATCCTACCTCCTCAAAGCCCCTTTAACTCTTTTCTTATTTTCTATCCCATTTTCGCATGCTATCCGATTATTTTTATAGTCTCTGTTTATAATGGCAATAGCATCGATTGACTTTGAACACACCTAGATCTTTGAATGAAGATGTGAACCTGATCCTTGTTGGTGCAGATTTGCTTGATTTGTAATTCTTCAGAGCATTTGATACTTCCTGTATCCATTCCTAGAGTTGAGCAGAAAAACTCAAGAATGATTCGACAGTCCAGTTTATAACATTTCAAAGATTCCCAAGGGGGTTGGATATAGTACTGGCGGAATTACTGTGATATGCAGTTTCTTCATATTTACTTTGTTTTGAAAATATCTGTGTCTCTTTTTAAGCGTAAAGGACTGCTGATCGCTTGCCTGTGTCATGACCTGGACCACAGAGGCTTTAGCAACACCTATCTGCAGAAGTTCGACCACCCCTTGGCAGCTCTGTATTCCACCTCCACAATGGAGCAGCACCACTTCTCCCAGACGGTGTCCATCCTGCAGGTGAGCTGGTTGTCCGTGGGTGAACCGTATATTTTTAGTGCCTAGGCAGTAGTAACCCTTTGTGAGAAAAGGACATTTTTACGTCTTGCTTTGAAAACAGTAGCTGCATCTCATTGTATACCGTATATTTGTAGTCATAATTAAATAGTTAAGGGGATTGAGATAAAGAAGCCTTTATAAAATGTTGAATGCCTACATTTTGCAATCACATGTGTTTTTTATATCAGCATTGTATGATGCTCTAAGGTAAAGTGTATTTCTCTTACTTTAATTCTATTGTTGTCATGTTCTTGAACCAGAATATACTAAACTGTAAATCTTATAATGAAAGGTTTTATGTACATTGAAGTCCTTTTATCTTGATTTGTTTTATATTTTATTGCTTTTAAGATATTCATGGTGATTGATCTAGGTGATGGCAGATCTCAGCTCATTAGAAAGATGTAAATGTTCCCTTGTCCATAAAACTTTCTTCTCAGACTCCCCGAACAAGGTGGCCATTATGTCGTAATGCTTGAATGCTATCACTGAGAACTTCTGATATTTTTTTACTCTCAGCACCTCAAAGTAGAAAGAGAAACTTCTGTAGGTCTTTGGATGGTATGTCTAAGGGAAGGCCCTTAAACTTTCAGTGTTGTGTGGGGAAGTTCTTGCAGTGACTGGCTGTGAGCAGGCTGCAGAGTAGAAAGTCTTCGTCTTGCGGTACAGTTGTTCTGTCTGTGGAGGCCATGTCTCACTATGAGCACTGTGTACCCAGGGATGTTTTCCTCCCTTCCACTTTTTCAAGGCTTCTGCAGAGTCTTCTCATTTGACCTAACTGTGCAAGTAATTGGAAGCGATGCATTCTCAAACCTTCTTAAAACCGAGCAAAACTTTCCTGCCTCGGTTTCAAGAAGATAAATGTCTAGTTACTGATAGTTTTAATTGTTTGCTGGGTAACAGCGAAAGACGATTTAGATACAGAGTTACTTTAGTCATCTTCAAGCCATAAACACTTGGTAGCTGAACACTGCACTTGCTCGTGGGCTAGTTCCATCCCTTAAAGCAATAAACACTGATAATCTCCCGTCCATTCTTTTCTAAATGACACATGTTTGGATGGGTGCTTACGTGCATCCACAGATACAAGCATGCATTGGAATAAAAGCAGGGTTAAGATGTTTGTGTATAAATACATCTAAAGTGCGCTTTGTGAAATAGATGGACATCATAGAACTTCATGAAAGTTTGCATGTATTTTGATCTCACTCCTGATTTGAAGTGATTTATTTGTACAGCTTGAAGGATAAATGCTAGACATGACATCTAGATGCCTAAAATTAGGACTCAACTTAGTCAAGGTTCCAAATCCTAAATGAATTCGTATATTTGACTCTAAAAACATTTCTAGCATTATAATCTGTTAATAAATTTTAAAAGCTAAAATTACTAATAACATTAATACTGAAAGTGGGGAAAGGCAATCTACAGGTGGAGGGAAGGAGATAGGTTAAGAGCGAGGGAAATACAAAAGATTCAAGATGTGTTGCATACGTGAGCATAGCATGAAGATGAATGTAAACTCATGTTCTGCCAGCACGACCGATAAAATAAAATTGTAAAAAACAAAATGGCCATCCTAAATGCAATAGAATTAGTTTTGAAGTAGACCAGAATTGTAAAATGTGTTGTCACTAGGTTGAATAAAAAATAACCCAACTGCATAACAGTTACAACAGACAGTTACACATGGGCATGGAGAAGGTCCATAGGAAGACCTGACCCGTTGTTGTCATCAAATATGAAGAAGGTTCAGGATGGTTTACTCCATTTTTGCTGATCCAGTGTGAAAATTTGGAAATTATAGATCACAGATGAGGCATTCCTAAAATGACGGGGATGGAATAATAGGAATTCATAGCAGTAAATTCAGTTCAAACAGGTAAGCCGTTGGCATCCTCAGTGTTGTTGAAGAATAGTTGGACTGCAGAGAGTAGGGAATGGATTCCAATCACTGGTGAGATGGCAATAATGACACATTTGCCCTATTCAGTAAAAGGTAAAGTGCTAAAACTGTGCTAAAACTGTGACAAGGTGGGAAGCTGGGGAGATGCTCTGGGCATTGCTGCAGCAAGAATTTAAAAATGATTTGTAAATGGAAGTGGGTCACCCCCTCCCACAGGAGGTGAGGCAGGGAAAAGTGCGCCAAGGTATAAATGACCTGCTTTGTGTGGGCCAGAGTGTTTGGGAGACAGCTCCTTCCTTTTCTGATAATATCTGTGCCCTTAGCTGTTTTGCGTTTATGCTGTTAATCCTTCACTAAATGCTTATTCTCACATTCTCCTGAAGTTCTATTGCAGAACAAACCGGTCAGTAAGCACATTCTATTTACCAACACTTGTTTAGGCTCCAGAAAGATAGGGATAAGCAAAAAAAAAAAAAAAAAAAAAAAAAAAAAAAGGCAAGCCCTTGCCCTCTTGCAGCAGTCTGGAGTGAGGCCTTGCCAGGCAGGTCCACCCTTCTGTGAACCTGGGTGACCCTTCCGGTTCGTATTCATCTGAAGGATTCTCAGAGTGCATTCAAAGACTTTAGCCAAGTATTCAGCAAGACTTTTGTGTTCAGCCATTTGAACTCTGCATTCAGTGTGGCCAGTGTTGTGCTCATTACTTTTCCTTGGATAATTTTCCCATTTATATCTCCTGTGATGGTAGCTTGTCACTTAACCCTCAGGGCTGGTGACCTTAAACTCATTGTTTACCCCTCCTTAAGCTGCCTCCCTGAAACCCAGTACCAAGTCCTGCCAATTTTATGTCTTGCCAGAAGACATCTCTAGACTTGACCCATTAATGAGGTGTTCTTGGATAACAGAAAAATATACAACTTTCACTCAAGAAAGCGAGACAGAGCAATAAATACTTACATAATATGAAGAACTCTGATAACCTGTCTTAGTCTCTGCAGATATTCTGTGCCTCCATTGTTTTATAGATGATTGTGGGTCTGCAAGTATCCATCTTCGCAGGCAGGTAAAAGTTATGCACTTGACTAGGCATTGTGATACACACTTGTAATGCCAGCTGTATTTGGGGGACTGAGGCAGGGAGACTGCAAGTTTGAGAACATCCTTGACAATGTAGAGAGACTGTGTCTCAAAATAAAATTTAAAAATAAGCTGGAGATGTAACTCAGTGGTAGAATACTTGCCTGCCATGTGCAAGGCCCCAGGTTTAATCTGCAGTACTTCCAGAAAAAGATATAAAAGATAATGCATTTCAATACCCTATACAATGGTGAGAAATAGTTCCCAATCAGGCATGATCACAGCTACATGTGTCTGGGTGGCTTTGAATCAAAGCTTTGCCAACTTTCATGATGTCACCTACTGGATAGGTTGTGCAAACTAAAAATATGCCACTGACTGGATCAGCAACACAACATGCAGGGTAGGGGTGTGTGATAAACCATATCTTCAATGTTTGCCTGACACAGGTGTTTAGTTCATGCTGCAGAATGGAGAGATTACAGATGTGGTCTCAGCTTTACTTGGTCACACTGGGAAGGATGCAGTGGACAGTTTTTTTTTTAAAGGAACATGGAATGTTGAATCCTGCCTAAGTTATGGGAAAGTATAAGAGCACCTGCAAAAGTATAAGCCTGCATATTTATCTTTTGCTGAGCGTTTTGCTAGCTCTTTGAGCTGGATGTCAGGAATATTATCCTGGAGATGGAGGCCCACCACTGTGCACAGTCCGGGCGGACTTTCAGTAGAGAGTAGCTCACACGGTCATATTGTGGCATCTCCACACGGCTGGGGCCCAGCACCGTGCCCCTTTTCCATGGCTTCTGAGCGCTTCAAACATTCATACACCTTAGTATTTTTTTTAACTTTGCTTTGAAATTTTGTCTTTATGAGCTTAGCTTTCTACCTGCTCAGTAGTATTTGTTGGTGAGGACAGTCATTCCTCCATACGCATCTCCATAAATGTAGCCCCACCTCTGGGTCTGTAATCATTGGCAGAGATGCGAATGGAAAGTAGAAGCAGATTCAAAAGAATTCAGAGTGGGCACAGCAATGGGCAGCATTTGGAGACTAGAAAGTGCAAGTCACATCTAGGGCTCAGTTTCCTTGCAGCAGCTGGCTTACGTGGCTAAGTGGAGAAGGCAGGTGGGATGCCTTCAAGTGAGGAGATTATTTTGTGTGGGCAGTGACGTACAGGAAATTAGAGAAACTTCTTACCTAAAGCATCTATTTTTTAGTAATTGTGATAGAATAGTTATTACTGAAATATTAAATCATTTTAGTCTATATCCTAATGAGATATTAAGGATCATTTTGAATATTGAAGCTTCATTTTTATATCTTTTGCTTTTCATGAATATCCTGTATTAAATACTCACAACTCAAGGGCCAGGGACTGAGCTCAGTGGTTCCACCACCTGCCTTGAAAGTGCAAGGTCCCAAATAAGTTTTACCCCTAAATGAAATAAATAAGTCACACATGTGTAAATACCGAATAGTTTCCCTGGTGTGACTAATCTGCAATAATACATAAGATCCTAATAAGATTACTGACATTTAGAAATGGGAAGAAAGGAGCTAAAGGTGTGGAAAGGTGGGATGGGTAGGGGAAGGGTAATAAGGGAAAAGAAAAAAATGTGAGATAATGAAAAGATGAAAATAAAGTGTTTGTAGGTGGGGAGGGGAGGAGGGGGTGAAAGGAGGGCAGGGGTGAGGGGAAAAAATGAGAATCAAGACCTGTCATGTAGAGGTACAAGATCCCAACAATGAATGTAACTGTACTGTATCCCTAAAATGGACCAATAAACTCAATTAAAGCTGAAAAAAAAGAAAATGAACAAACTAGAAATGATTAGACTCATTATTAAAACAAGTTTCTTATCCATTAACCTTAAATTACCCAATGCTTTTGAAATATCTGATTACAGAAATTTATCTATATACTCCACATTTTAGGATTCCAAAACTTTTTCATTAGTTTTTATAGCAATAGTATTTCTGT